ACCGTCTGCGATTCGGGCACCGAAACTAGGTGACGGGGAAGGTTGGGCACTGTGTGGAAGCATTGTTAGAGAAATTAAAAAAAAAACAGAAGTCAGAAATTAGGAAGTATTTCTGTAAAGCGACACTCAGTGTGCTTGCCTCTGGTGCCCTGCCACCCCCGAGACAGCAAGGCCCACCCCTGCTCGCCCTCCCCTCCCTCGGCCTGCTCGATACGAAGGGGACAAAGACTTCGTCCACTTAATTGACAGTGAATGCATTTTCTCTTCCTTATGCTCTTTTAACACTGTTTTCTCTGGCTTATGTGATTACCAGAATACAGAATAAAACGCATAAAACATACAAAATACTTGTTACCCAACCATGTTATTGGTAAGGCTTCCAGTCAAAAGTAGGCTGTTAGTAGCTAAGGCTTTTGGGAAATCAAAGTTATTAACATACATGGATTTTTTTTAATCTCATTGGGAGTTGGTTCCTGCAACTCCATGCTGTTCAAGGTCATCTGCACTTGGAGAAAGATGTAACAAATGACATACAAAACGTTTACACTAAAAACTATAAAACATTGCTGAAATAAACAGAGAGCTATAGAAAGTTCTTGGCTTTGAAAACACAATATTTAGAAGAATTTAAATAAATTCTCCGCAATTCGACCTTACAGATTGAATTCAATCCCATTCAAAAATTCCAACAAGATTTCCATGTAAAGATTGACAAGCTGTTTCTAATATTTATATAGAAATGCAAAGGATTTAGAAGAGGTGAACAATCTTGAGAAAGAAGGATAAAGTTGGAGAACTGGTTGTCTCTCACTTCAAGATTTCTGGAATGCTAAAAAAGTCAATACAGTGCGGTCCTGGGATAAACGTAGACAAAGAGATCCATAGAACAGAATAGATTGCCCAGAAATACACTCACGCAATCAATGCATTTTCAATAAAAGTAATTCAAAGCAATTCAATGAGTAAAAGTAAATATTTTCAACAAGTTTTCTGTAACAACTGTGTAAATGTATAAAAATAAAACAAATTTTAACCCCTACTTGACACCATTTACAAAAATTAGTTTGAGATACTTCATAATCCTAGATGTGAACACTAAAACTATGAAACTTGTAGAAGGAAATATACAAGAGTATCTTTGGTCATGGGTGTAGGCAAAGGTTTTTTAGATTAGACACACAAAACTGTAAAGGGAAAAAAGATGAAATTTCAAAAAAAAAAAAAAGGCATGCAAAAATATTTATGAAAGCTTTATTTAAAATAGCACCAAACAATCCAAAAGCTGTCACGAGGAGAACGGATAGACAAATGATAAGATTTTTGTTAGTAGAATACTAACTACTGAGTGATAAAAAAAAGTACTACTTTGTTTTATAAGCTGTAATTGGATTAATTTCAAAAATAATGTTGCCGCAGCGTGTACAGCTAGCCTCACAGCTCTCGTCACAGCTCTTGTTCATTTGACCGGGGAAAGAACCGAGCGGCACACAGAGTCGGAGAACAGCCTTTATTCTTCCACAGCAGGATCAGCACGCCTGGTGTTATAACTCCCTTCTGTCCCCCTTCCTTGTTCTTCTCCTGCTTTTATACCCTTGGTAGGGGTCAGAAAGTGTCCAATCGACATCAAGCTTTAACATCCAATCAACAACAAGCTTTAACATCCAATCAACAACAAGCTTTAACATCCAATCAAAAACTGTGGGATTCAAAAATTACCCAATCGGGATCATGCAAGCAGCCGTGGCTGGAAACAGGCAGCAGCTTGGCTCGGGGACCTAGGGGCATTCCGGCACAGGGGTTCCCAGTGGCACATGGGGTCCCAGGTGGCTCTCTGCTGCGGGGCCCGGCCCCAGCAGGGCCCTCCAACTGGCCAGGCACAGCACCGGCCCACGGAGATGCGGAGGGACGGGGAGGTGGCAAGTGACCTCGTCCCGGCGCCCGACATTTCCCGTATCAATAATATGCTATGGAAAAGAAGCCAGACACACAAAAATACATAATTTATATGTATTTCTATGTATATGTATTTCTATTATATATGTATTATATATGTATGTATATGTATTATATATGTATTACATATGTATTATATATGTATTTCTATTTTATATGTAATTCTATTTAACATTAACAAAATTTTAGACAAGCAAAACTATCTACAGTGAAAAGTGAAAAATGGGAAAAGTGGCGCCTGGAATAGACAGTGGGTGACGCGGAATTCCCCGAGATGGAAAAGTAACACATGCTGGTGGGGTGGGGCCACGGGGTGCCTGCGTTCTCAACACCCATGAACTAAACACTTGATATCTCTGATTTCACTGCAAATAAAATACACATCATTTTTAAAAGTTTGAAGAGCTATAATTATATCTATATAATTACAGAATTCTTATTCTAATTATAGAATTATAAATAGTTCACTATGAAAATTATTCAATCAAGACTCTTTTAGAAGTAAAATGGTTGCCATTCTTAAACACACAGGATTTTGGGTGGATTCTTTCAGGCTTTCTCGCTCACTCACTTAGCAACAGTGAGTACCTACTTATGTGTCTGCTACTGTCTGAGTGTTACGAGCACACGATGAGCAAATAGACACAGGTGCCTGCTTTTAGTTGCTAACGGTCTGTCGCAGGAGTAGGGAGAAAGGAAATACAGAAAACTACAACAGATAAGTAAACGATGTAGCATTTAGAAACATGAAGTGCTATGAGAGAGGAGAGAGTCGAGCTTCCTGTAACACTGTTCCAACTGCCAGATGCCAGCTTTTAAAAATGATGGATATGCCTGTATTTACGGATTAGCACTTTTGCCCTTATTAATTTATTGATCATATAATACATTAGAGGCATTCCAGGAATAAAAGAGAGAGAGAAGAGAAGAGAGAGAGAGAAAGAGAGGAGAGAGAGAGAGAGAGTTTTAAGAAGTGTGTTTTACTATAGTTGCTTTATTCCTTAAGCTTTGCAATATTTAACGCTTGAATAAATATATATCAGGATGTCTCCTGGAGTGGATGAAAAAAGGTTGGTTTCAAGGACACCGTGCTCAATGCTAATCACATTCCTCGTGCTACCGAGTCTCAGTCACGTTGAGCTATCGAGTCAAAGAGCAGCCTTTTGTCTTCTGTATAAAAGACAAGCTGCTCAAATGTCACAGAATCCTGACGCCCAAGTCATTAAGATGTAGCTGTACATAAAAGATGCAGCACTGATAATTCAAAAATAGACAAGAAGAATGTGCTCTAGGAATAATTTTTCCTCGAGTCATACTAGCACCAAACATAAATAAGCCTGTTTTCCTCCGTCAGTGCCCTGCCGTGAAGCGGCGGCTTGAGCCCCTTGTTATCTGCCAGGAACAGAGAGTTGAGGGCGAGCCTTCAGCCATGGAGAGACTCCTCCTGTATTTTTTAATAAGACATAGACTGAGAACATAAGAAATCCCTCAGCAGAAAGCAGCACCATCAACAACTCAGAAGTGCCTGCAATGAGATTATCCGACACGCTGAATATTAAGCCCCGTGTTGTTTTTCTACAGCTAGGAGACACACAAAAATAACATGATGTTGGCGTTTGCTCTTGTTTGTTGCTTTTAATCACACCTCTTGGGGAAAAAAAAAAAAAGATCTATCCCTAATCAAGCTCTATAGATGTAGTCTGTAGCCGTAGCCCTCCAATCTTGAATCTGTTTAGGATTATTTAAACCTGGCATAGAATTCTCCCGTGACAACAGATGCCTCCGTCTCTCTGCACTCAAGACTCTGTCACACGGTGCTTTCTCCCTGCGAAGACCCGACCCACACTGCTGATTCCAACCCAAGCGCCTTTGCGCCATGAAGTCCTCTCCAACGGTATACGGCGAAGTGACCTGCTCCTCCTCTCTGCTCACATTACATGCTCTGTGTCCTGCTTATTTTGCCTAGAATCGTGCCAGGTTACTCCCTTTTTAATTATCCCCCCTTAGAGGTTCACAGCCAGGTGGGTGGTGAGAACTGTAGGCTTTGCACGCAGAACCCAGCTCCAACCAAGGTGCACTCTCAAAAATTGATTTGCAAAGTTGTTTATCTATAGCTTACACCTGTTATGAATGATGGCTCCCTGGCCAGCCCATACGAGCTTATCTGACCCATCCCATACCGAGTCTGATGTATCAGTAACACCCCTTGTAGATTATTTTTCTGAGAAAATTAATTTTTGGGTTGGGACACAGATGAAGATCCTGATTTACTGAGATCAGGAAAATGCAGTGCGTGTGATTCCGTTCTGCCTCTATGCTGCCAATGTCATGCTGATCAAAACCGTTTAGGTGATCAAACAACATGCTTAGATGGTCGCTGGTGATGAAATACTCAATTAAGGCTCACAAATGGTCTATGGCTTCCTAAGGAAACCAGGGGATTGAGCTTCGCCTGTGGTTGCCAAGCCTCTGGGAAGCCTCACGTGAACGGCAGAGGCGGCAGGGAAACCTGTCAGGGCAGGGGCACGGAGGGGCTGCCTGGGGAGTGCCACCCAGCGCCGTCCTGCCTCTACTTCCCGGATATGTCTGGCGGGGTGGGGCGGGCTTGGCTTACTTCGACCCATTACATGGAACCAATCTGCTGCTTTATCTTGGCTGAACGTATAAAAAGCACAACAGTTTAACATACGATAACGCCATTTGGCCTCTTTAGCACCTTGTCCCATCAGCTCCTCTGTAGGAGTTTCCACTAGAGACGCCGTTTCAAGGTAAGACAGGAGGAAAAAGGTCTGGCTCATGGACGGAGGTGGGGGGGGGGTGGGGGTGGGGCTTTGCCCTGAAAAACAACCCATGAAGACACTCCGAGACGAAAGAGATTACAGAAATCAAGCTAAACCTAGTTTTCCGCTCTTTATTTTTCCTTCCCTGTTTTGGGGGTGAGCCCCACTTTTCCCTTCCATAATCAAAGCAGTAACAAGAATCAGCCCGCATTGGTGAAAGCACGGTCCTTCCCGTGAAAGCCCGGAAACCGGAGGGGTTGTCCTTACCTCTCAGTTCCCCCATGTCCAGCGTGGTCCCCAGCTGCTCCAGCAAGGCCACCCTGGCCGCGTTCTTTTTGTGCTTCTTGCCTTCGTAGTGCTGCTGGGCCATGAGGGGGTTGTTGAACCAGGCCGCGCAGAGCCCGCAGTACCTGTCCGAGTCTCTTCTTTGGTAGGGAGAGGCGACCACAGGAGCGGTGTCCACCCGTGGGGGCTTCAGGGAGCTCAGGGGCGTCGCTGTGAAAGGAGACAACCACAGAACCACGGGCCACGTTAGCGCACTGCCGACTGCACTTCCCGGTACCTGCAGACTAAAGAGTCTCACGTTCGCTCTAGAGCTCAAAATCCAACGGAGTTTGCTGAGGCCGGGAGCGTTACCTTTGGTAGCCTTCATTTCTGAGTCGGGACACAAATGAAAATCCCCTAGTGGACTGGGGTCGGAGTTTGCACTCGGTTATGACAAAATCTGATAGCACAAGAGGAGACTATCCCTGAGGGGAAAAATAGAGTCTTTAGAAATAAATTCTCAGAGGTGAGGGAGGGATCTATTTTAGTCAAAATGAAGCCGACACTTGCAGTAAACATTGGCCAATCGTGACTTAATAGTCTCTGGATGAATGTATTGGACATTTGTGTGCCACAAATGGAAACAACCAATAAATAAAAGATTTGCCTAAGTGATAGAAACATCTTTCAGTGGCATGGGATGTATTAATTGAGGAAATCAAACTAATTTTATTCAGTTAGCTCCTTTTATTGTGATAGGTTATTTTCAACCTGTATCTGCTAAAATTGATATTGAAAGTGTAATTTTTAAAGCCCCCAAAGAAAAACACTATAGAGCAGATGCACGTATCTAAACCGAAAAGGCATCTATCACTATTTTGAGCTTACACAGTCCCAGCTATTAAATGAACACATTTCATTGTGAGCTTAGAGTTATTTCTGGTCCAGAAAAAAAAAAAAAAATTAGAGTCTAACTCGAAGGATCTTACTAATGAAAAGTAAAAATAACTTTTGTATGCATTGCAGCAACTTGAGTTGCTTCCATCCTTAGAATGGCAATGACTTGGATTATTACTGTCCCATTTCTCAGATGACAGCCGTCAGAAATGCCAGGTGACTTACAGAAGGTGAAGGTGGGATATCTATTTATGGAAAAGGCAGGACTCAGAACCAGAGCCTCCATTCTCAGAGACAATGTCCCCACCAGTACCCTCAAGGGCTCTTCTCTACTTCTTATCAGGCAAAGGGATCAGTTTCCTAGACCCGCCATCTTGGTATTTTATACAGAATATAATTTTGAAAAAACATATTCCGACCCGAGCATTTTGGAACAGAAAACAGTATTTAAATTCTCGCACGGACCCATGAGTCACAATGCAATGCCGCACGCGGCCCCCGTCCCATGCTCTTTGTCTCTGTGGAACGCAGCCGGCAAAACCACGGGAGTTAGGGTCACGGTCCCAAGGAAAAGCTGAGATCCGAGACCGCAATAACAACTTAAGGAACCAATTAATCAATTAAATCAATTAACGCTTAACCAATTAACCTTAAGGAACCCAAGCTTTCGCATAACTTTTAAGTGGACTTTTATTTTTTTTGGATTAAATGACTTACACAGAAATAAACCCTTTCTATGTGACATTTAAATTCAAGAAATGTCTGCTTCATAACAGTATCTCGAAGATATCTTTTCCCCCCCTCTATCCAGAGATTTCATCAGATTGGGAAGTTTTAGCTGGCTTTAGATTAAACTTAATGGTGTTATTTTCTATAGGGACTGAGATAAACAATTTTTTTCTCTTAAAAGCTCCATTGCTGGGTTTAGCTATAAATCACCAGGTAGAAATGAAGCTCAAATGTGGGCCCTACCATCTCAGCCACGAGGTGTCATTCCGCTATGACTTAGAAATGCTAATGAAAGCTACAAATATGCAGTTGACCTGTACAGGAAAGGACCTCTATCCATTTTTGCAAGGAAATTGGATCTTGCTTCCAAAGTTTCCTGCGTCCTTACCAATTTCTGGGGATTTAAAGCTGCTTATTGTTTTGATGGCCATGGAAAACATATCAAATATTTACAATCTGAACGAATGCTGACTCCTGAGGCACAATTTATTTTTCTCTAAACTGAGCCCTAAAAAAAAACATTTCAGAGTCGATTTTATCAATTGATACCTATACACCACTTCCTGGCAGGAGTGATGCACAATAGAATATTCATCAAATGAGATAATCTTATCTTGCAGACAGGAAAGCAGTTGAGGCTACATCTGTATTATAGCTTCTCCTCCTGAATAATTTGACTACCTTGTGTATGCCCTGAAAGTTTAATTTTTTTTATTTTGCTTCTGTTTCTTTTGCAACTGTCTTCACCAATCTCAGCCTAGTTTATATCCCCTTAATGCCTGTGAAGGCAAACAGAAGCAGTAGCGTGGAAACAGCCTTGACTCGAAGTCAAAACTCAAGGTTGGGTGGAGCTCCACCATCACTAAGCTGTGCTGCAGCCTTCCGCAAGTCTCTGCTGTCTCTGTTTTCCACGAGGTTAAAATTCAGGGTCGCCATCCTTTTTAAGACTAACATTCTTTGAAGCGTACCCGTAGAGTGGGGACAGAGCAAGCTGTAGAAGCTCTTTCCCTCTTCCAGCTTTGATTCTATGCCAAATATGCAAATTACAGGGGAAGAGAGCAGTTTCCAGGTTTTAATGATAAATCTGTGTGCACATGAACCAGAACACTCATATTTTTTTTTTGACAAAAGTGTATTATTCTAATAAAATGAATACAAAATGGGGGTACAGATTATCTTTTGATTTAAAAAAACATGCTTTTAGCAAAACACTTTTCCGGATATGTAGTTAATTTTTTATTTTAATTTCATACTGTATATTTTCATTTTAATTCCAAAAAAATATTTAAATATACATTGACTTTACCTATCCCTTATACAGATTAAAACCAAACCAATCTCTCAGGTGAGAAGCGGGCATCGGGATGTTTTCAAAACCTCCCTTCTCCAACCCCTGATCAACGCAACCAAGGTTGAGCACCACTGCTTTAAGTATTGCCAGATTTTCTTTGAAAATTTCTATAAAAACAAAGCTGTCTTAGATCTTCACATACTAGACAGACACAAATTACATCCCGCAGCAATGGAGCTAGTTCTTCTGTAGGTAATAAGCAAAATGTCACATCCTTATCTATGAGACAGAAAGAAATAACAATTACTTGCTTTAAAAAAAAAAAAAAAACCCTAATCAATTTCCCCATGTTACCAAACCATAAAAATTTCTTCAAAAGTAGTAGCTAATATTATAAATTAATACTGGTAAGGTTCAATAGCAATTCTGATTCCTTTCCCCACGAAGAAACTCAAACATACATGGAACTGCTTTACCGTCTACCTGCGGTCGATACCTGCATGGTGCACCCCACTGTCCCGGCCCTCCCTGCAGGACCACCTCACTCTCACTGCTCCCTGAGGCCTTGACAACCTACGCAAGAAGTGGTTCTCCCTCCTCTAAGCTGGCGAAGCACTTTCTGACTGCACGATTCATTCAGCACCTCTTAAACACCACCGTGCAATCTTAGCTGTGTGGATGCGTACTTGTGCGTGTGCATAAGAGAAATCACACCGTGAACTTCCATTAGATAGCATTTGTGTCCACTCTCTTCTTTAGTACACAGTCGCAATTCCTTACTTCAATCAGAAAAGATGCAAAAACCCTGAAACTCACGTTTCCCCGTGATTTATCTGTTACCAAAGCCTGACCTGAAGTCACAAAAGGTGATTCTTACTATGCCACATACATACACATGTATGTATGACCATACATACACACTGCAATGGAGTCATGCACGTGTTGCATGAGTTTGATCATGGGCTATTGTCCCATTGACACAGTATACGGTATACGTGCATTATCCTGGATCCAAAATCCTAAAATTTCTGACTTTCAAAACACATTCAGCCCCAAATGTTTTGCACAAAAGATCATGGACCTGGAGTGAATTCAGAGTTAGTAAAACAGACTCAAGGTTGTCAATGCTTGAAGCACGTCAGCCTTCAAAACTTGGTTTCTAAGAATCTTCTGATCCTGGAAAGAATTTCAATACCCCGTTCCGTGCCTTGGCACGAAGTCTGTCAAGGAGCAGGTTCTCACCTGCTCCTTGATTTGTCTTGAATAATAACCTAAAATGGTATGTGTCTCTGTCTCATATTTGTTTCTTGTTGGCATAATACCCACAGTTGATTCAAGGACAAAAACATTTTTCGAGAACCCTGGTATGTGTCTGTCAGAACACTTTCTTATTTAATACAGTATTGTCTTACAACATCTTATTAATACAATTAATACAATACCACATCTTATTAATGCAACATTGTCTGCAACTGGACTGCTCATGGCCCCAGCACTTTGCATGGTGACACACACACAGTGCACAGTCTGCCTTTTGCTAAATGAATGAATGAATGAATGAATGAATGAATGAATAAAATATTCTTCGCCTTATGAGTAAGTAAAGTAAGATGGTAACCAAGAGTTCTCTCGTCTCTTCCAAACTGCCCTTCAGGGCTTAGGCAGCGAGGTGCCACAGCAGGCAACACAAACATGCACAAATCCATGACACGACCCCGGTGAGGCAAAGGTGAAGCTATGGAAGGGCAACATGTCAAAGTGTGGATATGTATCCCAGTCTCCCTCTCTCGCTTGCACTCAAACAGATTTATTAAAAGTTGCTATTCTCTCAAACTGTGGTCCATTTTCTGGGGTGGCCTGTTTTGGTAAGTTTCACAGAGTGCAAATTATACACAGCCTCCTGGAAAACAGGAAGCCATTTGCTCTGGTTGTTTAATCCTGGCACCCAAACCCCCACTCTGGCCTCTGGTATCCCAACCGCCCACCCCGGTTTGCCCGGGGCCGAGAGGTTCCCAGGACACAGGGCTCTCGGGGATAAAACAGGGAAAGTCTCGGGCAAACTGGAACGAGCCGCTCGCCCCAACACCTGAGGACACGGCGGCTCTCACATCTCACTGGGGAAACAGGAATTAGTGAAAAGCTTGGCAATAACCGTCCAGGAGACTGGAGCGGACGTTTCAAGCAAGTCGACAGCATCCACCAATGGGTCTCGGGGCTTTATTTATCAGATCACTGAGCGAGCGGGTGGTCATAGCTGGAGCAGAGGCGACAAAGCCAGAGCGAGATTCCCGCCTACCGGGCCACCGCCACTGCG